ATAACTAAAGATAATCAATTCTATGAGATAGAAAATATAATAAAACATAAAATAAGTGAAAGCAATGATTATATTTTTCTTGTTAAATGGAAAGGATATGGAAGCAAGGATAATTCTTGGGTAAATGAAAAAGATTTTAGCTCCGAAGATTTGATAAAAGACTACTTCATTAAACAAAATATAAAATATTAATATAAAGGAAAAGTTTAAAAATAAAAATAATCAAGTACACAAATTTATATAAAATTATTATTATACCATATGTTTAGATAGTTGATATGAAACAATTCATAATGATTGATCCTCATATTGACTATATATTTTGCACTCTACCTCATGCTGACAATGTAATTTCTATGACTCAAAATTTTGTCAACTACAGTTGGACTGACCATGCCTTTCTTTCTATCAACTATCAACTGGTACACACTCCAGCTGGACCTGGTCCTTGGAAAGGTAATCCTAATCTTGCTCGACTATCTGCATATAGAAAAGGTTTGACAACACATATTGAGCAATACATGGATAACATCAACCGTTTGGATCCTGATTGCCCTTCAGTTCAAACTATTTGGGATGAATTGAAAGAACAAGTTAAAGTTTTTACTCGATCCTTCCAGATCGAGCGTAACAACTGGCGACCCAAATCTCTGAAAAAGCTTCAATCCAAACGCAACAAAATTTTACGAATCATAAAAATACATCTATTCTATCATCTCTTTTGCCAAAGGTTGAAAAAATGATTACTATTTTGCAGGATAAATCTGCCGAAATAGAACATCTCAAAGCAGGCAAATTTTGGCGAGAAAAAGGTGAACGATCTCCTGGTCTTCTCAAAAAACTTGCACAAGGTAGGTCTACACAGCGAACAATACCAAAGCTCTTTGATCCCAATTCTAGGCGATTGGTTACTAATACAGAAGGGAAAACAAAGATAATGGTTGCCTTCTATAAGGCGCTATATCGTCCTGACAAGATCCAATCCTCTGATGTCAATACGCTTTTACAACGTACCAACAGCCAACGACTTACTAAAGAGCAAGCATCTACCCTTGAAAGTCCTATCACTTGGCTGGAGATATCGAAAGCAAGTAGACGCTCACCTCGTCAGAGTAGTCCTGGTAGCGATGGTTTGCCATATAAAATTCTAGGTATTCTACTTCGTGTTCCTTGTTTAAGGCAGCTGGTTCTACAAGTATACAATGATGCCTTAGCTCATTCTTTATTACCAAGGTCATGGCTGCTATCACTTATGACTCTTTTGCCTAAGAAAGGTGATCTAACGCGGGTAGAGAACTATTGTCCTATCCAATTGGTGAATACAGATAACAAGATCTTCACTCGGATAATCAACCACAGGATTATGACAGTAGCTGCTACACTTATCAACAGACATCAGCTAGGCTTTATGCCTGGCAGATATATTGCTGAACATGGATTGCTCACCCAAATGATCATGGAAAATGCAGCAACAAACTATCGCCGACCAGACAAAGATCTTGGCATTCTTTTAGACCAAGAAAAGGCCTATGATCGTGTCAACCTTGACTATCTCAAGCAAGTGTTGTTACACTTTGGTTTTCCAAAGACCCTGGTTGCCAGCACTATTACCTTGTTTAGAGATAATTCCATTTGTATCAACATCAATGGTTGGCTCTCTAAGCAGTTGGTTCCAAAGCGCCGAGGCCTCAAACAAGGTGACCCACTCTCTTGTATTTTGTACAATTTTGCCTTAGGCCACTTATCCAGTCGATATTGAATGACACTCAATTTTCTGGCTATCGCTTCAAACATAATGATTTTAGTCAAGCTATCACCTTACCTGCTATCAAATTGCTTAGTTATGCTGATGACACTTTAGTTTTTCTTCATAATATCCGTGACCTTCGCAGAATGCAGTTTCACTTGCAGGCCTACAGTAAAGCATCCAATGCCAAGATTAACTACCATAAAGTGCGAGCAATCTCTCTCTCTGGCCACAATCTAGATGATAAATGGCTGACTATTCTACAAGCCATTGACATTCCCAAGATATGGTGCCGTACAGATGCTGAACCCATTATCTATTTAGGTTTTCCCCTTATCCAATCCTTGGACCAGCGCGCTCACTTTTTTTCGCCCTCACTCGATCACTGACTCAACTGGCGGATATTCATGCCTCACGCAATCTTTCTGTTGTTGGTAGAACTACAGTTGCCAGTTCGCTTTTATTGTCTAAATGCTGGTATATTTTGCGGGTAATCCCTACCACTCAAGCAATCCTTAATACCATTCGAACTGTCATTACTTCTTTTGTCAACCGGCAAATCTTTCCTCGCATTAGCTGGCAAACGATGACTGCACCAAAGTGACATGGTGGCCTTGGCATTCTTGGCTTGTTTTCTCAGCAGAAATCACTGTATTACCATTGGCTTCATCCTTTTTTGTGTCCTCAAGCTGAACGTTCTCTGATACAAGTCTTTCTAGCAGCACATACCCGTGCTTTGCTTCAGACTGAACATCTGCTCTTGGGTCTGCTCTTTCCTCGTTCTCGCCCAGGCCAACTCAGGCAATTGGCAAGTAACACTGTCACAATGTGCTGCCAGACAATGGATGCTATTCCTAGGAAACAGTACTCATACATGCCAAACCCTATCGAATGCCTTTTACTGCCATTACGCTCAATTGTTTTGCCATCTGACACCTTTGACTTGCCTCTCAAGCTACGCACAGTAGCAGTTTCCTATCTATATGAGTACCATCCGCAGGGTCACTATTTGGCACCAATACCAGTTTCTTCCTTTCCCCTGGATATCCGTCGTAGTGTCAGAAAATATATTCAAGCAGTGAATCAAAATCATTGTCAACTGGAGCCATTCTTTGGTCAATGTCTTGTTCGTACTTCATTATACTTATACAATCCTGCGCATATTCCTGCAATCCAGCGGTCTTTTGGTTTCTTTTCTTTTGTGCGTATGTTAAAACTGCCTTTTGACAATGAAGATTTCATTGCCCTCAAAAATGGTGACTATACTTTTCGTAAGGTCATCACACAAGCTGCCTTGTCTGATATTATTGCTCGGCAAGAAGTTTCTTCTGCTGCTTGGAAGTACTTTTGGTGTATACCTATCACAACATTGTAGAGAAATGTGATGTATCGATTTCTGACTCACAAGATTCCCACTCGCTTACTTCTATCCAAGGTTTTTCCTGCTCGCTTCCCTACTGCTACCTGTATTTTGTGTGGTGATCAGGAGACTGTGTACCATTTCTTCTTTCGCTGCCCCCAAAAATTTCCGTTCTGGAATGCCTTGATCAGGGAATTTCTATGGCCAGGCACCTCTCTGGATCTAGTTTCTGATGCACTTGCATCTTTCAATTTTTTCGGATTCGGTCTCAAACCAACTGTCCTCTTTCAGTAGCCATGGTAACCTTGATCGGTCTCTCTGAAATCTGGAAGGCCCATTGGGCTCATACCATGCAGAACCAACCATTCCATTATCTCTCTGTTTTTCATAGCACTCGCTATCAAATCAAGCGTATAGCTGCTGAAAATGACCTTTCATCTTGAGAGGTCTTTTCTCGCAGTAGCTGCTCTTTTTTTTCTTGATTTCTTTGTACTTTTGATATTGTAGTATCCTTTTTGTTTCTCTTAATCCTCTTATAATAAATAATTGTCGAGCACCTCTTTTAGTGGGTCCCTCTCGAGACCACTAATACGTACAGCAAATAAAAAATAATTAAAAGAAAATCGAGCTTTTGCTGAGAACAGTCTAAAGACGCAGTTGTATGGCTTTGGCGTAGTGACAAAAGTTGTAAATCTTTTTATCTTAAATCTGCTGATATAAAGAGCACAGCAACTTTGCTGCTAAAATATTGAGCAAATAGGCAAAAATACCCATAGGGTTTCTTGCCCATATCTCATCAGTTCTGTAGTACAACTGTTAAACAAACACATTCACCAAAAAAAAAACTATAGCCTCCGACGCACATTTTGAGTATTTAAGCTTGTCGATAGCTCTATTATTTGTCTTGTAGTGTCAAAAAGAAGACCCAGAGTTGTCAAAATAAAGATTATGATGAATAGTACCCTTTGGATTTGAAGTCAAAATGACCATTTTTTTACATGTCGCCTTTTTTTCGGTCCAAATCAACCCCAAAGGCACAATGGATGTTAACAGGCATGGTTTGTAGGTATTTTGAGCATTTATACGGGTGTGAACAGGCTTTGAACTTCCTTTTCATGCACAGTTCTTTGTTAACAAGGTTGTAAGTTGTATTTATTGGAAGAGATAGGATGTCTGCTGTATGGCTTTATGAAATCAACGACATCTAACGGCTGAAGTAAGCTAATTCATCATATGGATGCACAATAAAAAACATAACAAACAGAAACAAAATGCATTTAACTGATACAATGCTTTTGATCAATAAGTTTTTCTTTCTTTATGAGATGTTTACAGCCACAACCCTTTCGAGATCAATATAGTTAAGCGAAAAGGACTACTGTTTGAAGTGAAAGTAGAGTGAGTTGAGTGCTTTCCGTATTCATCTCTTGACACGTATCTGAGAGTGCACAACATTGCCCTGCATTTTTATTATTAGATCCCCTTAAACACATTCTTACAAATGGCTGTCATACCCTTCCAATTATGAAGAATAATTCATACAATAGTATTTAAAGAGTATTTTCAATATGAAATAGCCAAAAGTTTGCTCAAATATCATGTATGCAAGTAAACACACTCTTACAATGTAAATCAATTAATGAGTTTTATCTGTTCATTGTAAGTATATTAACATGCAATGTGAACATATAATAACTATCATTAGGATTTTCTTAAACTCTTACTGTGGGCTATCCTTACTTTTTTTTTCAAATAGGACTCAAAGAATATTGATGTATGAAAAATCTGGAAAGAGAATGTAGCTTCTGAGAAAATGGTTCCCTACACCATATAAAATGCCTCTTGTGTAATAACGCCTCTAGCAACTTTTCTTCATTGTGACACAATCCACTGGGTTTTTATTTATATCAAACCTTACAGGTAATAGAGAATTTTCTCTGACGATTCATGCAAACCAATCCATTTAATGAGAGGGGTTTTTTTTTTATTAATAGTTTAAAACCAGTAATTATTTTAAGACAAATCAAACGATGTAAAGAGAGAAGGGAGGAAAAGAAAGTGGTATAGATTTTTTTTTTGGTTTTTTTCTGTGAGATTGTGTAAGAGAGGATATCATTCTTTTTATGCTTTTTTTCATAAAGCAAAAGAAAAAACATAAGAATAAATTATAGAGAAATCATAAACATACAAGGAGATTACATTACGCTCATGAGAGCACAATCATAAAAGATTAAATATTAAAGAGGTATTTATAGAACACCAACCCGGGAAGACTTTTTACCAGTAACAAGGTTTTTAAAGCTCTTCCACATCTTTCCAACAGTGGTTGTTGTTGGAGGTACTTCGTCTGCTTCTGTTGTTGTTGTTGTTGTTGCTGCTGTAGCCTTTTTGTTTTTATCTACTTCAGTAGAAGGATAAGACTTTTTAAAAGAAGAAAACAGTGATTTTTTTGGAATTTTGGGCGTCTTATCTATTGGTGGAGGTGGTGATGCTGATGTTGGTGGTGGTTGAGGTATTACTGAAGGTTTCTTAGTCCAGGTCTTTGGCAAAGCAAACATCCGTGCCGAAATCTTTTTGACTTCCGACTTTAGTGTTGTTTTCTTCGTCGGTTCCGTCCTTGCTTCCGTTGGTGTTTTAGGCAAAGGTTTAGCAGATGATGATTTTGTTACACTAGGCGCTTCTTGTGGAGTTTTAGGCGCAGATTTCCATAAAGCACGACTTGCGAATTTAGTAGCACGCGAAGTAAATGATGTCTTGGGTTTAGGTTCTTGCTTTACTAATGATGGTGATGATGACGATACAAGTGTGACATGAGAACCTTGCTTTTGTTTTAATGGTGTAGTCATCATGCTCTCGTTTGATTTTGCTAAAGTGGCAGAAGATTCGAATTGACCGATGGTTGCACCAACTTTTCCTTGAGGTAGTTGTCTCGACTGCGCTAATGGTTTCTGAAGATTGGATCGTTTAAGTGAAAACATGTCTTTGATGGATTGCACAGTTCCCTTTTTGATTTCCAGACGCTGCAGACTTTGCGAGGAATAGGCAGTTTGATTGGACTGAACACGACTCAAGCTGTTGCTCAGAGAATCTGGTAACTGAAAGAGGGATCTGATAGAACGCACGGTGCCACGTTGTATTGTACTCAGAATGGAGGATTGCTGACTGTAAGCGGAGACACCATCCAGAGACTTTGCACTACGATGCGAACTGGCACTGTACTGGGAGTTGTCGTACATGCGTGTTGAACCTACAGATGTCTTACTGCTGGATTGAAGTGAGGATGATCTATTGAGCGAAGGAGAAACTCGAGCAACATCTCGCGGATCAGCTTCCGCAATGGGCAAAAAATGGTCATCATTGTGGAACGGAAAAGCTAAAGGTCTCGGACAAGAATAGACAAGGTCGGGCTGGCGAGGAGATTGATGCTTTTTAGGCTTTTTCTTCTTGGGAGTAGTGACAATAGTACTCGTACTACTCGTCACAGTATCTGTGATAGAAGATGTCTTGTTTAAATTGTCGGATTCAGTAACCACATGATTCGTATTAGTAGAAGGTGTTGAAGACGAAGATGTGTATCCACTGTCAGCGCCTGAATTCTCTGATTCTAATGAAGAGCGCTTTTTGTGCAGTGTTGCTTTTGTGCGGACAATATATTGTTCATGCCTAGAACTTGAAGAGTGGAACATCACCCCTAAAAAACTAAAAATTGAATAAACAACAAAAGAAGAAGAAAAAAAAGGGAAAAAAGAAGAGAAGAAAAAAAAACTTTTTTTTTTTTCATTATTTATTTATTTATTTATTTATTTATTTTATTACACACTGTACATAATTATATGTACAAGTGACACAAGTACTCCAATTCAAGTCAGTACAGGCTATCATTGTAACCAATCGAATGCTTCTTTTGTATTTCTTGAGGATCATGAAACTTATAATAAGGGTCAGCAAGTTTTAAAAAGAAACTTGGGTTTAAAGGAAGATAGTTATGACTAAAATACGAGTCAACACAAAAAGGGGATCATTGGATAAATTGAAGGCTGAGAATCAGGGGTTAGAAACTGCTACAGATGAAGCATGGCATTATATAGAATTTAGCTTCAGATCACGTTACTTTAATTGTTGACTTTTGATAAAGGGTATCCATCTAATTGATGTAAGAAATGTTAATTTGAAATCTAGTTTTGATTGACTGCTTTTTTCAATATGGCTATTTAGAAGAGACATAGTTCATTAGCCCTCACTTGACTGTTTATTCATCTTATTTAGACTATTTGATCAAAATTTCCTAAAAATTTCTCAATATGTTGCAGAAAGTAATTTCATCATGTGGCTGAAAGTGAGCGTAAAAGAAAATTTATTTCACTGATTGGCTGGTAGTGCGGTAAAAATTTCTTGTTTCTCGTCAAATAGACACAAGGACGACCTCATCAACAACGTCTTTTGTTATTTGACACTTCAATATTTAAGTGAGAGATTTTTGCTGCAAATTCTTTTCTTCCCTTATTTCTTATGGATACATTACACACCTTTCTAAGCTCAATACAATTAGAACAATATTATGACGCCTTTGTCAAAGCAGGTGCAACAGACCAAGACTTACCTTTGCTTGTCCAGTTTAACGATCAGGAACTTGTTGAATTTCTTTCTGCTATCGATATGCTTCCGTTTCATTCAATCAAATTCAAAAGAGCCTTACGAGATTTAAAAACATCTCCACCGCAACCTAAAGTATCCGTCGATGATGTAAGGCAACAAATTATATAAAAAGATCATTAAATTGTTCTTATAGACCATCTTGAACACTACACGAGAATTTATTGTAAATAATGCTGTTATTTACGGCAAAAAGAACAGTCGCCCGCTGACATCGTACGAAGAAGCTATCAATCGTGCTTCTCTTCATTTGGCATTAGAAAACCCTTTACTTATTTCCAAGAAAGGAGATCTTTTTGATTTAGCCAAGAAAAAACTTCTAGAAGAAGGCTATCGATACAAAAGAGGCTGCAGTCGATCCAAATTAAGAGACAATCCAAGCCAGAACAGAAGAGCATCTTCTTCTTGCTCTGAAGACAACACTCTCATAGATACTCAAAAACAACAATTGCTAATGAAACGACAAGAAAATGCTCGTCGTATGTCTGAAATGCGGCAAGAAAAGATTGAAGCGTTACAGATACAAGTAGAAGATGCCTTAAGATGTAGACAAGCAGCTGAAAGTCAATTAGCAAATGACTCACGTCGAGACACACTCACACAACTTGCCATGGAAGCAGAAATCATCCGTTTCGAAGAAACCAAGATCAAACTCACCAAAGAAATCAGTAAACTAAAAGCACAAGAAAGAAAGCATCAATGGTACAAGCGGCGCAAATTAGAACGATATTCAAGTCAATCTACAGATGAAGGATTTAGCTCTTGCTCTCAACCAGAAAATGATAGAATGGACCATTCAAGTGCTTTTTCACCTTGTTCTTTCAGCCATTCTTCACAAGAATACGAAGAACCTCATATATTATCACATCATTGTCATTCCTCCACACTAACATCTAGTCTGATATGTTGTTCAAGGGAAAGTGATGTTCGGGCAAGTTCCATGTCAAGTTATGATCGATAATAAAAAGTATTCATTACCAAATGTCTTTTATTCATTGTATTGTAAGGCAACAAGGAAATCAGCACCCCAGGGTATTGTGTTTCCTTTGATGCCTACACGCTTCCAGCATAACCTTGGTATACCAGTATCCACTAAATACAATTCACCTGTAGTCTTCAACGATTTGCATCCTGTCTTGGGTGCATTTAGACACAATGTCCATGTAGGACATATCTTATGCTCAGGATGATGAGGTATACCCGTACTTGCATCCATACCACTAGGGAAATCAACTGCTAAAATAGGCCTGGATTGTTGGTTGGCCCAGTCTATTGATTGACACACAATGTCATAGGTAGGACGGTCTGAAATATCCACCAATTTATCATCGATACCAAGCAGAGCATCAATCACCATATCCGCATCTTGTAACTGATTCGATGAATAACACACAGATACACCACATTGGGTTGCCAAAGATTCGTACCTAGCAACCGCATTGCTAAGATGCATTGGATGTGCTACAGCAATACATACTGTAACGAGGCAACCATGATTGACAAGGTGACGAGCAGCTACAAGACCTAAGGCACCATTCTTGTTGTTACCAGCCAAAATGATCACTTTGGCATTGGGCCGAATCTGCTGTAAGGCCAATAAAGCAGTGCCTCGGCCTCCACTTTCAATGGCTAATTCTGCAAACATGTCTGATACTTGAGAACATTCATGCTCCACATGAGCCATCTGTAAAGGAGATACAGAAGGACATAGAATACCATTGGCTGTAATAATTTTGGCAGTTGATACTGGACTATTTCGTTGTCTTCTCTTGTTCTTGATATATTCATCTGGTGTTTGTGAATCATTATCACTTTCATCGCCTATGTTATCATCATCATCATCTTCTTCGTCTTCTTCTGAATTGTCTATGGTATGATAAGGTGTTTGTTCAACCTCCAATACATTTTCAGATGGTAATAAATTGACTTTCTTTTGAGGCAATCGATTCAAGGTGACTAATAATTCTTCAGGCGCTGTTTCATCTGATTCCTTGTGGGATCATGTCAGTACAATGCCTTTGCTCCCCTATTTACTTTACCCTTATTTCAGCAAAAATCTTTGCTTTATCAAACATGTCTAAATTCTTTTGGAAATCAAACTCTTCTTCTTTAAATATATTTACATCTTCGCCAGCCCATGTATTTTCTGCTTTTTTATGGTTACGCAAAGCTGGTTTTGTTTTTCGATCTATTGTTTATATTAATCAAACTACGTGTTAGCGTTTGACTTACTTTTCGAAGTAGATCTTGTAGGTGCCAAAGTCTATATATAGAATTTAAAAACGATACAGAGTATGTCCATAAATACCTTTTCTTGATAAAGTGGTGGTGTATGGTCGAGAATATGATTTTCTGGCGCTTTGGACGAGACACTACCAGTTACAAGCTCAAAGACTTGAAGGTCTTTGATATCTTTACCAAAAACACCATAAATGGGTGTATAATGAGGTGGCTGACCGGGAAAAAAGAGTGTCACTAGACAAGGTTATCATCTTGTCTATGCAACAAAGTTACTTTACCATCTTTAAGTGTCATCTGATAAGTTGCGGGATCAATGTCAGATACTATGCCTTCTAGCCTGACATCAGTATGGAGTAAAGCCTTCAGTTTGAGGCCTAAAAATGCTTCAGTCATGTTATAGTATGAAAGTAAAAAAATAAAAATAAAAAACGAATAATAAGCGTTGAATGAACAAAAGGGTATCCTATAGACGCCCTTTTTAGCTTGCACCAATCATATTAATAGGCGAGATCAGCATCAAAAACCAATGGCTTTTTTTTTTCTTTCCTTTTTTTTTTCTTTCTTTCTCTTGTAATAAATATGGACTTTAGTTCCTTTAATCTTGAAGATACAAGTGATATCTTTAAACAAAACTACCAAATTCAAAACCACTATGACAGCAACAATAACAACAATAACAACAATAACAATTTGAATAATAATTCAACTGGTTTCTTTAACTTTATAGGCAACACTACACACTATGAAAACAATAGTACACAAGCATATACAATGCCTCAACTAAGTCCTGATGGGCATGAAGAAAGCTATACAAACAGTAGTGTTTTATCAGGACATAATCCTGAATTTAACATGTCACCACTACAAATTGCTTCTCAACCGCCTACTTCTAACAGTATGATCCACACCTATCAAACGCCTATTCAACACGCTACAGAAGATTATATAGATGAAGAAGTATGAAATATAATCTCTCTCAATTTTTATATACTAATACAGATATTTTAGGAATTCTTTACACCCTTAGTATCCCCTGCTATGGCACCTACCTCGCATGATTCTGCTTATCAATCCCTGATGAACCTAAATGAGAACACATTTTCACCTCTTTCTTCTCCTGCATTACATCCATCATCTAACCTATCTTCCATGTCGGATCAAACAACACTTGAACAAAAACTAGCATTTATTGAAAGACAGCAACAACAACTCCGTAACATGCACAACCAATTACGGCCTACAACCAAAGCATCCCCCATCTTGAATACTAAAAAGCATTACAACACAAGATGGCAAGTCCACAAATACAGCCTGTTCAAAGTCCAAGGCCATTTGTGGTACCTAAATCAACAAAACCAATGGAAAGTCCATTGGCATTGACACCTCATACATCCTTTGTCAATCAATCCCCTCTAAAATCAAATACAAACAATGGATTTATTGCGCCTGCAACACCTTCCTTATTAATGAAACTAGGTGGTAGCAGTGGCAATTCGTCAAGTGTGCCTACATCGACAGTATCTTCTGTTGTGGATAATATGCCTGTTCTTCCTGCTGCTATCTTACCTCCTGAAGAAAAAAAGAAACCAGACAAGAAACGTCGCCGGGTCTCCAATTTCTCTTCGCCTGGATTATCGCCTAGTACAGACATGACTTCACCTGCTATACGTCCATTGGTTCAACAGTCACCAAGAGCATTGAAGCCTTTGATTTCACCTTCCCTTAAGCCAGATGGGAAACGTCTTTCTATCATTGAAGAAGAAACAGCACGCGCACTCTTGACCAGTAAATCCAATTATGAAAACCTGAAAGAAGGAAAAGCCAAAAGCCTAGGCATTGATTTCTCGACTACAATTCAATCTGGTATTGAAAACCGTCGATCAGCACATAAAGCAGCAGAACAAAAACGAAGAGACACACTTAAACAAAGCTTTGATTCATTACGTGCTGAAATCCTGGAGGCCATGGTGGAAGAAGAAATGACAGACACAACCAATGTGGCCGAGCTCAAGAGTGCTAAAGAAAAGGACGTGAAACAGATGAGTAAAGTGGTCTTGTTACAATATTCATATGAATATATCCTAAGACTCAAGAATGAAAATAAGCGCAAAGACGAAAAGCAACACAAGATGCGACAAGAGTTAATCGAGCTAAGAAAGCGACTAGGACTACCCGAAGTGACAGCAGAAGAAAAAGATGCAGAAGAAAAAGAAAGACAAGAAGAAAGCGATAGAAAAGAAGCCAGAATGAAAAGACTAAAAAATGCTGCTGATGCTGCTGCCAATTCGGATGAAGTTTAGTTCACAATAGTACTAGTAATAATATAGATTTTGTCTCCTTTTTTCTTTTCTTTAATCAATACGTTTTGACTTTCTTGAGCGTAATTGAGGTGAAACTGTAGCTGTTGTTTCGCCTGTGCTGGGTTGATGCTCTTGGCTTGCTGCATCTTTTCTACTGGCCAAAATGGGTAAACTAAAAGCAAAGACCAAGAAGCCAGTCAAGACACCTATTAATGTCCAAGGAGAGTAACCTGATAATGCTTTGACAAATTTACCCGCAAATCCAACCAATTTACCACTAAAAGAACAATGAATGACTTGCATAATATATAATATGCTTACAATAAACTAAAAGGCGAAATGAAGCCTGACTTGGGGGCTACTTGACGCCATTCTTCCAAAGTAACAAACGAAATCATGTCATTTTCATTTCTTGTCGAAGGCAAGACACGAACTTATATACATCATGAATACAGGCACTTTATATTTTTTTTTACCTTCATGATCTTTGACATGAACCACAGTAGGCAAACGAGACACAAAGAAACGAGCAGCTAAACCGGGATTAGTCTCGACATTGACCATACCCAATTTGACGTGCTTGTGTGAGCTCATGCCCAACAAACGGTCGGCTGCTTGAAACTTTGGCTCAAGACGTTTACAGAATCCACACCAATCAGCATAACTAAGCTTCATGAGAACACGAAAACCTTGAAAGGTCACTTACAAATCAATAAGCCATTCATCGTCCTTTTCTACAAGATCAGAAAAGTTTTCATCGGTGAGTTGAGTAATATACGCTTGAGTGAGCGTGATGAATGCCAACAAGCTGACAATAGTCAACCAAATGAACTTCATTATTGATGGAAAAAGGAGAATGACATAAAGCCCTTTTGACTGAGTCCATGTGTGTATAATTGAAGCCCCGTTTATGTTTACAACAATTTTTTTTTAAAAAAGAGATGGAGAGACAAGTGTAGTTTATGGATTAGAGTCTTCTTTTTTACTTCTTCTTTATTAAAAAAAATTGTATTGAATTAGGACAAGAAAGAAAAAAATCGAGAAACTTAAGCTTCCTTTTCTTCTTCCTTAGTGGCTTCAGACATGTGGGCCTTAAGGACTTCCATGGCTTCACCAATCTTGCTATCCAAAGCCTTGTTGTCTTCGAGAAGGTTCAACAATTCACCGTTATCCATTTCCAAAAGCATACCGGTAATCTTACCAGCATATTCGGGTTGTTGAGCGTTGATCAAAGGATAAAGACGTTCACCAAGCATTTGCTTTTGAGCTTCAGCAGGGGCAGCAGCCAAAGCAGCAGCAGTCAAAGGAGCAGTTGCAGCGGTTTCGGCAGAAGCTTGTTCTTGAGCAGGGTTCTGGCGAGCTTGGTTAGCGTACTTGCGCTGACCAGCAGCACCACCACGAGGAGCACGAGGTTGACGAGGAGGACGCATGTTGTTGTTGTTGGGAGCAAAACCTTGAGGAGGGAAACCAGGCATGGGTTGACCTTGTTGAGGAGCCCAACGAGGACGAGGCATCATACCATTAGGAGGGAAGACGGGACGTTGACCTTGGGGAAGGAAACCACCGGGAGGAGCGTAGAACATGGGGGCGCCGGGCATGTAGCCAGAAGCACCAGGCATGGGCATACCTTGTTGCATACGCATTTGGTTGCGTTGAGCCATTTGAGCTTCCAATTGAGAGCGACGGACTTCCTTGCGTTGGGCAAGAGCAACGTAGATAGGCTTAGAACCAATCATGCGACCGTTCATTTCAGTGACAGCCTTGGTGGCTTCATCAGGGGAAGAGAAGCAAACGAAGCCGAAGCCCTTGGATTGACCCTTTTCGTCAGTCATGACCTTGGCAGAGGTGATGACACCGTAGACAGAGAATTCTTGACGGAGCTTCTCGTCATCGAGATCATCATCCAAGTTCTTGACGTACAAGTTGACACCTTGGTACTTGGCAAGCTTTTCGAGCTTAGCTTGTTCGTATTGCTTACGGAGCTCTTCTTCACGTTCAGACTTCTTTTGAGCACGGGCAACGTAGAGGATCTTGCCATCAGCTTGTTCGGTTTCGTTCAAAGCATCAACAGCCTTTTGAGCATCTTCGTGGTTTTCAAAGTTGACAAAACCGAAGCCCTTGGACTTGTTTTCTTCATCAACTTGGACAATAGCAGAAGTGATGGGACCATACTTGCCAAACATTTCTCTCAACTTGTCGTCGTTGACAGATTCATCCAAGTTCTTGACGTAAACGTTGGTGAACTTGGCTCTGTATTGCTCAATCTTAGCCTGACGTTCCTTCTTGGGGACATGGCGACCGACATAACTATCAGAAATAAGTGTTAGCCATGACCATCCCAAACACACACCTTTCTTCCCACTCCCTTTTTTCATCTCTCACCCTTTCTCTCTCTTTATACTTACACCTTCTTGTCATTCAAAAGCATACCGTTGACATGCTTGATAGCATTGTCAGCAGCTTCTTCAGTTTCGTAGTGGACAAAACCATAACCCTTGGAGTTACCGTTCTCATCAATAGCAATCTTACAGGACAAGATGTTACCAAAAGCAGAGAAGGTATCGTGAAGAGCCTTGTTATCAATGGTTTGATCGAGGTTCTTGATGAAGACATTGCCAGAGCCAGTCTTACGGAGAGAAGGATCACGTTGAGACCACATGATACGACAAGGCTTACCCTTAATCAAAGTGTAGTTGAGACTTTCCAAAGCACGTTCACCTTAAGAAGGATGAGTCAACGTAAAGAAAAAATTTTTTTTCATGTACTTACCATCTACAATGTTGTGGAAGTTAACGTAGGCATAACCCAAGCTACGACGAGTGACAGCATCACGGCAGACACGGATGGAGGCAACAGGACCAATCATGTTGAACATCTCGAAGAGCATAGCTTCAGTAACAGAGGGATCGAGTTCACCAACGTAAAGGGAAGCAGAAGGAGAAGGAGCAGCATTGGTACCAGCAGGAGCAGAGGCTTGGGCCTGAGCAATTTGCTGTTGCTGTTCGGCTGAGAGTTGCTGGACGGGGGCAACTTCAGCGGGAGTAACGACAGGAGAAGTAGACATTACGAAGTTTTCGGTTTTTTCTATTTTATAAATTTTTTTTTATATGTTTTATTGATATGTCACACCCACAAATATGAGATTAGACAAATATGAAGAAAACGGCGATTAACGTCGAAAAGAAGAGAGAAAAAAAAAGAAAAGAGAGAGAGAGAGAGAAAGAGGGAAAGAAAAAAAAAAAGATAAAAATCATACTATTCCCGCCCTATTTTACCCCCAATCACTTGCATGGCTGCCTATTAGCAGTGAAAAAATTTTCTGTCGGCCTTTCAACAAGTTCAGAATGGATCAAAAGAAAGAGCAAAGAAAACGAGTCATACTCTAAGCCATTACCCGAGAAAGAAAGAAAAATCACCAATAAGTTTAATGAGAAATGTACATTGATTTACATAAAAGACGACAGTCTAAGAAGAAGGGGGAGGGTTTTGCTGAGGAGAAACTTGCGCTTGTGTTTGCTGTTGTTGCTGTTGTTGCTGCTGTTGCTGTTGCTGTTGCTGTTGCTGTTGTTGTTGTTGTTGTAATTGAAGTGCTTGCATTTGTTGTAGTCTTTGTAGCTGTTGTTGAGCAAGTAAAGCAGCTTGCAAATTATTTACATTAGGATTTGCCTGTTGCTGCTGAGGAGTCATGACAGGACTAGCAGTAGCACTTGTACCATTACTATTGTTTGCTGCTGCTGCTGCCATAGCGGCATTTCTCACTTGAAGTTGAGCTAAATAACGCTGTATTTGAAGTTGTTGATTGGCAGGCAATTGAGAAATAGGATACCCCATTTGAGCCAATTGTGCTGCCAATACAAGAGGATTACTTTGTGCTGCTTGAAGTTGAGCAGCGATGGCTGCCTGTTGTTGTTGTTGTTGTTGTTGTTGTTGTAATTGTTGTGTTTGAGGTACAGCTTGTAAAGCAGGACGTTGTTGAGGACTTTGGACAACATTTGGTGAACCTATTTGAGACTGAGTCGTAGCTTCTGCTGTTGGAGCAGGCACTATATAAAGAATGAATACCCCACTCATATTTCTTTTTTTTTGTTACTTACTTTGTTTTGGTTGTGGTGGTGGCTGCACTTGAGCTTGTTGCTGTTGTGGTGAAGATTGTTGACCTAATTGCTGTTGAGCAGCAAGCAATTGTGCTTGTTGTTGGACCTGTGCTTGCTGTAATTGCTGCTGTTGCTGTTGAGAAGCTTGTAATGCACTTGCAAACCTTTGAATGACAGCAGGAGAAGGAGGACGTGCTTGTCCAGCTTGTTGCTGAGCCTGAGCTTGTTGTTGTGCAGCAGCCATCAAGACCATTTGTTGCTGTCGTAGTAATTGAAGCTGAGCAGCTGGGTATCTATTCAGTGGCAGGCCTGCAGCCACATTGGTGTTTTGTGCGATGGGAAGTTGAGGAGGTCTAGCAGCATTTTGTGTGGTTGGAGAAGAGGTACTTGCAATCGCAGCAGCAGCAGCCCGTGCTTGTGCTGTCACATTGGCAGCGGCAGACGTAGCGGTAGACATAGAAGGCCGTGCTTGGGATACTTGAGGTTGTGCAGGTATCGCTGTGTTAGTTGTGGCGGCGGCGGCAGCAGCAGCAGCAGCGGCCACGGTCGTATTGGCAGGTCGTGGAATACCATTGGGTTGCGAACCTAGACTGATGGCTGCTGACAACTGCCTTTGTTCAAGTACAGCTTGTGCCATCTGTCGTTCGCGTTGTGCTTTATGCAAACTCATTTCCATGGCTGTGGGTAGACGCTGCCCAGCACTGTTTGTACCATGCACTTCGATTGTTTGACGAGGAGGTGCAGATGAAGATGCAACATTCTTTTCAGCTTCTTCACGTTTCTTTTGTGTCTTTTTGATAGCTTCAAACATATTGTATTGTCGCTGACGTTTTTGAGGCGAATCAAAACGAACCACGACTGGCTTGCTCTTGAGCTCACGTTTTAATTTGGACGTGTAGGCCATGCTAACTTGCCCAGATAAAGAAGTCAAGTTGTTGCGTCTCCAGCGTTCATAACACTCCCAAGGTGTACGTTTTTCTCCTGTGATTGAAAGCCGAGCAGCATTGAATGCATCTGCAATAAGCTCCCAATTGAAAGAGTATTGAATGATAAACGTGATCAAACAAACATCGTCGTCTTCAGACCAATGACCTGAGTGTGATGAACGATGCGATGGTTGAGGAGGCACAGGTTGTTGAGGAGGAGCATCTTTTTGTCGTTTGGGTGAGAACAGCGAAACAATAGGTGTATTATCATAGCGTTCATGTCGAGGCAACGGCTTGATTTCTTCTTGTTGTGTTTCAATTAAATTGCCTCGACTGTCTCGTTTGCGACTATAGGACAGAGGTGATTTCAGATGAACTTGATGTGTCGTGAGTTTTGAGATAGGTGTAATTCGTCCAAATTCTGCTTCATTAAAATACAAGTCATTGAATTGAGGATTAGGAGGCTCATAAGTTAACAGGTCAGGAAACAGGACAGTTGCATCGAATTCACCAAATTCTTCAACAGGCAAAGTCATGATAGGCATGTTGGGATCATAGTCCTTCATGATATTGCGATAGTTTTGAATGATTTCAGATGATAAGTTTGCAGGCTGAAGGTGAGGTGTGGTAGGCATAGAAGAAGACTCATCTGCTGTGTCCGCCTTATCATGGTTGCCTACTTGCTGATCGACTGTTGAAGCAGGCATCATGAGATCTGATTGTTCGTCCAAGTTTGGTTCAACAGCCACAGTGCTGTCCATTTCCATTGGCTCAGGTGTTGGTAGACTCTTAGGTTCTGGAATACGTGTCTTTACACAGACAGTTGACTTGTCTTCTGCAACATGCCATTCCATGACAGAGTGCGATAACACATAAGCCATTGCCATTTTCCACTTTCTCTCCTCTTTAAAATCAGTATGCATCCATTTCATTTCATCTATCATACAATCCCAGTGTGTCTTTGGGCGTGGCAAAGCTCTGTGTTTCTTCAATTGACGTAAACTCCACAGACTCTTTTTCTTTAATGATTCTATTTTTTGAATGGTCTTTACAGATTTTAATTCATCTCTAGCAAGCATCCAGTCGTGTGTAGTCAGTGTCTTACGGGCTGTTTGTAGTTGTTTGAAAAGCGAGAAATGAGTAGCCCTAAGTTGCCATGCATACAAGTCTAGTCCCTCTTCGTTCTTTTCTCTGGGATCTGCTGATAGTTTAACGCCATTGTACATAAGATGATTCAACGTAGTATTGTAAATATCTGTATTTTGTACATTTGCATTGATGGTAATTCCTTTTCTTATGGTTAATGGTAATATTGAAGTAGGTTCTTGTTCTTGAGGGGATAATGTTTGTTTTGTAGGTGACGTTGTTGAGGAAAAGGCCATATCTTTTTGCTAAAGAAAATCAAAAGTTAAGATATGCATGTTATTATCTGCTTTATAGTTACATCTAAACTGGATAGGATTTCATCCACACTTTTAGGACGCACAGCACCACTTACTCCTCTTGTTACCATTCTAGCTGGAGGAGGAGGCACTCGTCTTGCTACTTTAAATGGAGAACCATCTGGTGTAGGGGAAGGTGATTCTTGTTTTAATTTGACATGGCTATAATTCTTAGTAAACCTGATCAACAAAACCATGTCTACCTTAATTTATGCTTTTCAAGAAACAAGACCCATTTATCTTGATCTACTTGAGTTACATCACCATTTTTTAGAAAAGAAAGCACAGGATCTGAGTCATGATTTTCAGCTGTCATTGTGAAGAGCTCTTTTAATAAATTTTCTCGGTGTGTGACAATGGCTCTATATTTAATATGAGTATTTTTTTTATTTTATCAGTGTGTGTATTTTGCTTACCTCAGTTTCTTTTTCTTCTCTTCTTCTGCATTGTTTCTTAATTTTAAAAGTTTCTATCAAGATGTAAATAACATGGAATATATATTTTTAACTTGCCTGTTGTGCTTCATTATTGTTTTCCATTTTGAACTATAGAAGAGAAAAAGAATAAAAAAAAAGAGGGGGGATATTGATAAAATAAGACGCGTCTCTATATAAAAAAAAAACAAGCGCGTTAGTCGAATCATCGTATAATTTAGAGCGGAAAATGGTATCACCACAATGAACACAAGGATGATAAGGCCACTAAGCCACTATGAATAGATCTTTTTTTTCTTTCAATTGAATTAAATACTTGAGTTATCTATCTTTTTCGTTGTATTCAAACATATCAGCTTCTTGATTTATTAGCAAGTCAATTTGATTGTAATGACTGCTTAAAGAAAAAAAAATTGCGCAGTTATAAGGATATAGGCGTTTTCAGCCTTGTGTTGATCGTGCAATAATACCATAACTCATCACTTCTCTCTGTGATCTAGTCTTTTTCGACTAAAGAACCACAAAGAGAGTAATATTTTTTTATACATAGATATACTTACACTATGTATGCTTTTTTTTCTTGTTTCTCCAAAAAAAATAAAATATAAAACCAAAAACAGCCGAGTGCACCACACACTTTTACGTCATAAAGTAGTCACGTTCTTTGTGTGTCATTGAAAGCACATAGTTAAAAAAAATTAGATGAAATCATAAAAGATGAACGATTTATTGTACTAGTTAAAATAATAAAGATATATGCAGTTGTCTTGAATCTATACAAACGAAAAATAGTGTTAAGGAGGAATGGAAAACTTATTTAAAGGTAAGAAGCCTATACCGAAAAAAGAAAGTTAAAATCACCGACAGTGTTACTCGCATTAATATGACTTACACGTCTAGCAGCTTCTTCAAGATCACTTTCTGTAAGCATGTTCTTATCATCATCATTAGGGATTTCGTAGACACCGCCCAAGATAACATAAGGATGGTAAGCAAAGAGAGCAAGATCACTCATTTCAGTAACACCAGAGAGAACAAGAACAGGATCAATTTCTGAAGAAATACCAGCAACAATACTACCAATCATAAGCATCTATATTTTGCCAAATAACCAACTTACTCTGTATCCATACGGTCACCAATAATACAGGTCTCCAAACGAGAAAGACCAAGCACACGCTGAGCATAACGCATGATCAAAGCAGAAGGCTTACCACAGAAGAAAGCTTTGGTTTTGGTAACCAATTCAACACAAGCAGTGAAGGCACCTGTAGCAGGAATTTTGCGACCTTGAGAATCAAGTGTTTCAACATCCAAATTGGTAGAGATCAACTTGGCGCCTTTTTGAACAAGTTGAACAGCCTTTGTGATCTTTTCAAAGTTGTAAACAGCAGATTCACCCAAGACAACATAGTCAGGGTTATGGTCATTCATGAAGAAACCCTTATCATAGAGAGCATATGCAAGACCGGGTTCACCAATGACATAACAAGTACCACCCTAATGCAGCGCTTATTAAGATCACACTTTAACAAGATATTTAACTTACTTCAGGCATTTGAGACTTGAGGAAGTGAGCAGTAGCTTGACCAGAAGTGAAAAAGTGATCTTCAGTCACATCAATACCAAGACGGTGTAGCTTTTGTTGCAATTCACGAGGTGTAGGAGCAGAGTTGTTGGTCAAGAAAAGGTACTTTTTGTTGTTCTTTTCCAAAAAGTCAACAAATTCTTTGGCACCAGGAAGCAATTTGGAACCCTAAATTAAAATGCTCTGAGTTTCTATCCAACAACAATAAGAAAACTTACATGGTAAATCACACCATCCATATCAATAATATAGCCCTTCTTTTGACGGATAGCATCAAGACGTTCATTGTGAAGAACAGGGTCTTTGAACAAAGCCCAATCTCTAGGAGAGATACCGTCTTCATTCTTACCGGCAGGAACAGCACCGAGTTGGTGTTGACCAAGAGAGGCAGCGAAAGAAGCAGCCAAGTCGCGAGTTTCTGAAGCAGAAGCAAATTCAGTTCCACCAGGGCTAGAGACAGTGACAACAGCAGGAATGTTAGTAGTAGCAGAGGCAAGCGTGGTAGCATCAGCAGGAGCCTCAGTAGTAGGGGGAACTTCAGCAGTAGGGGGAACTTCAGCAGTAGGGGGAACTTCGGTAGTGGGAGGAACTTCAACAGTAGGAGTTGTAGTAGACATGATTTTAATGATAAGGAACAAGAAAAAGAAAATGCTTAGAATGATAATGAAGTGTCCTTTTTATAAGATAAAACGTGTTTCTCGTTTGCTGGGGTTTATTTATATCTGGAATAGCTGAATTAATAAACAAAATGCATTTGATGTCATATCTCACTTTGACTTTCTAGTTGCATAGTAAATATAAATATGTACAGACAACGGGCGATAAGTATTTAGTCCTTTTGTTCTTATCGGTCATACATCAAGTAAACACTTGAGAAGTTCTAATCAATGATCCATCAGCAGAAAAATCAAAAGGTATCCAGAAAATTCTTTAGCACTCCGATGATATCATGGTTTGTTTGCATGTAAATAGAACTGCTTTAAAGTAGAACTACTGAATCGATAAGCATTACCTTTCTACATTTGAACGCGCTTTTATTTTGTAATTTATATCATTGTCATATAGACTGATTTGCTATTATTACTATCTCTTCATCACAGAAAAAAAAGACGCGTCTAAACAAGATACCGTTTATACATTTCATTAAGGCTGAGCCTATAAACTCGAGTACCCAACTCTTTTAACAATTTGACTAATTGCATTTTTTCAATCATTCGTACAAATAAAGAAGCTTGTACAACGCTAAAATGATAAATAGTGTTCCATAGGCGGGTTTATGTATTAACAAAGTCTCTCAGTGATATATGCTTCAAAGATTCGTTTCTATACAACAAACTAGATACTTTGTTTCTCTTCATTGTTCAACTTGGATCTAATTTGAGCGAACTGGTAAATTTCTACTGATGAGACTACGGCTATGACAGTGTCAAAGAAATTTTTGTCATTGCTCGAGTATGACTATGGGATAAGACGGATATGTTAACAAGGGAGCTTCCTTTATCGAGAGACTACATTTATACAAAACAAGTTTTGGAGAATAGATACTGGCAAGAAGCAAACTTAAGTGCCCAGTAACTTCCATTACTAAATTTCATTAAATTATATTTGCAGGAAACAAACGACGTAACTGTGTATAACACCAATCATGTCTTATATCGCCGCTTCAAGGAACTCTAACCTTATTTTTTGTATGGGTAATCCCTAATCAATATCATGCCATTATTTAAGGAGAACAAAGCCTAAAGAGATACTATAATTTGTGTAACTCTCTTTATCGTCGAAAGGGGGGACTTCCTTTGCATTGACATTGTCAAAGTGTATTCATAAAGAAGTTAATTTCTTTTTTTGACTACGTCTGTGCTTAAAATTAAGCATAACAATTGACCCCGGACACTTTGCTTCTTTTTTCTTTCTTTCTTCTATATCATGCATAGATTATTTAGAGCAACACGTCGAGTCGCAAACTACAGCTTATTACGTCGTTCTTTAAACACAAGAACAGTTGCTGTTGTTCCTAGACCCCTTATTCGACAAACACCTGTATTATATCCTCGACAGAAGTTTATCACTCGACATATGGCCAGTGTGTCTGATTACAAACAGACACCTTTTCTTAACTGGAAACTGTTTCCCGATTTTGAACTGTTAGTCACTCAGGCTAAGCCAGCTATTGCAGTTCCTGCTTTTGAAAAGTTGATTGGTGCCGCTAAAGACCAATTTCTCGAGATTGAAAAAAACTTCGAGCCCACTTATGAAGGCACGATTGGAAAATGTAAGTATGTTTATATTGAATACTTCGAAATTCATTATGGTCTATAGTAACCGAGCTTGAGGATCAAATTTCAAGAGCCTATGGTATTCTTTCTCACTTGAACGGTGTCAAGAATTCAGATGATGTACGCGCTACACTTGAAAAGATCCAGCCAGAATTCATCAAACTTAGTCTATTGATGAACCAATCTGTGCCTAAATACAAGGCATTAGAACAACTTCGCAACACACCTTCATCATGGCAACAATTGGATCCAGTACAACAACGTATTGTAGACCATACTTTGCGTAGCATGAAACATGCAGGTATTGGATTTGCTGAAGGATCACCCGAAAAGAAACGCTTCAATGAGATTTCTGAGCGACTGTCTCAGTTGTCTTTGAAGTTTGGTAACAATGTGTTAGATGCTACGAAATCATTTAAGCAGATTATTACAGACAAACAACAATTGGAGGGCTGTTCTTCCGCCTTTTTGGATACTTTAAAAAAGAATGCTGAACGTCATGGTATTCAAGATGGATACTGTATCACACTTGATTTCCCTATCTATGGACCTTTTATGATGAACTGTAGCAACCGAGCATTGCGTGAAAAGGTAGATCATGATGAATTGACAGCTTAACTTATTAGTTATTTTAGATTTATCGAGCCAATATAACTAAAGCATCTGAAGGATCAGTGAACAATGAGCCTATTATCAATGAAATCTTGACACTCAAGCAAGAAAAGGCTCGTTTGTTGGGATACAAGACACCTGCTGATTTCTCTTTGTCTGTCAAGATGGCACAGACATTGCCTGCAGCAGAAGCCTTATTGGACAGCTTGTTTGATGCTTCTGTCACACATGCTAGAAAGGAATTGGCTGACTTGACAACATTTGCTCAAGAGAGATTGAACCATCCTACTCCTTTACAGCCCTGGGATACTGGTTATGTGACAGAACAATATAGAAAAGAACTGTTTAAATACGACGAAGAAACGATTTCTGAATACTTTGCTTTCCCCAAGGTCATGAAGGGTCTTTTTGATGTGGCTCATCAAGTGCTTGGTATTCAAGTGCGTGAGTTAGAACTTTTTGAAATGAAAGAAAAAGGCATCAGTCGCTGGCATGAAGATGTCAAAGTATACGAGGTAGCTGAAGAGGGTCAAGTAAAGGCTTATTTCTATGGTGACTTTTATTCTCGTCCCTCAGAAAAGCGTAGTGGTGCCTGGATGGATGTGGTGACTACACGCTTCAAGCAAGCCAATGGAGACGTGACTCTTCCTGTTGCTTATTTAATCTGTAACCAACCTGCTCCTCAATCTGCTGAACAACCTTCTTTGATGAAATTCCGTGATGTAGAGACTTTGTTCCATGAATTTGGTCATTGCTTACAACATATGATGACCACCGTGGACTATGCACCTGCTTCTGGTATAAATGGTATCGAGTGGGATTTTGTTGAAGTAGCTTCTCAATTTATGGAAAACTTTTGCAGCGAGCCTGAATGGATCCATCGTCTCTCTGGTCACTATAAAACAGGCGAAGCCATTCCTAAAGATATGGTAGATGCACTTGTGAAGAACAGACAATTCATGAGTGGTTTGGCTACACTTAGACAGCTTCATTTTGCTAAAGTAGATTTAGCTTTACATTCTCGCTTTATACCTCCTCAATCAGCCACTGATCCTACTGTGTTTGATGTCGATGCAGAAATTGCTCAACAGACTGTGCTTACACCTCGATTGCCAGAAGATCGATTCCTCTGTAGCTTTAACCATATCTTTGGTGGTGGATACAGTGCTGGCTATTATAGTTACAAATGGTCTGAAACCTATTCTGCTGATGCTTATGCAGCATTTGAAGAAGCTAAGGCTAAGCAAGGAGAAAAAGGTGTTAAAGCAATGGGCAAACACTACCGTAATACTATTTTGGCATTAGGTGGTGGTACTCCTCCTCAACAAGTATGGAAACAATTCAGAGGTCGCGACCATGTAGATGTGAATGCTTTACTTGCTCACTCTGGACTAGTTTAAAGCTGGGGAAGTTTATTCACTAATTTAATTGTACGAGTTGATAGCTTGGAAAAACAAGCTCATCGTCCAGCATTTTCCGTAATTGATCTACAATAAACTTTTCTATTTTGCCTACATTCTTCAACACTACAAACAATGTTAGCGTATAGTTTTGTTGGTGAACAAAATACCTTGCTTTTGTCCATCCCCTACTATTGTCTCAATATGCACATCTCTTAATAGACTAAGATACATGAGTTTACTTGTCCTGTTCTTCTTTGCCTTACCTGTCCATGCCAATATCTTTGTTTCTGCCTGAAAATGTCATATCTTGCTCAGGTTCCAGCATAGAAATACATACTCGCTTCATACTCTGAATATAGGCAACTACTGCAGTAGCTTCAAATTCAATAGACCGAACACATAAATGAATAGGCAAGCTCATAAACATCACACTAGGATAATTCATGCGTAATTCAGTCATGATAGTCATTGTCATATCCCCTTTATAAGAGATAAGCATATGAACTTGAAAGTCCATTTCTGTTGTCTTTTTGTCAAGAGTACTGGTTGTTTGACTAGGGGGTATAGATGGGTTGGATACATGATTAATGTCTTCATCATCAATCCAATCTTCTTCTATACTCGGTGGACGTGATATTGTTGTAGGGGAAGCAAAATAGCTGCTGAAAGGATGCTGAGGTGCCACAAGAGGAGAACGATGGAATGAATGCATAAGGTTAAATCGTTGTTGATGTGATAAGGGTGTGTTGAGAGAGAGCCTTGCTGTATTATATCGCATACCATCGTCTGTATAAAATTCACTCGGTGTAGGCGATAAGTTAGTGGTGGATGTCTGTACTAAAGAAGCACTGCTACTGTTCATGTTACTATTGGAAGGTGTAGGTGAGTGATGGTCTTGTTGATCATCATCTTCATAAAACTCTGGGAATGGATCTGTAATGCTTGTGATCTCTATTTGAGGTGCTTCATTACCCCACTGAAAGCTAGTTACTTCAATGTCTCCAATAAAAGACGGTTTAGCAATGTTTTGAAAGTGTTTATTCAGAAACTGCTGAACATGACCAGCTAGTTCCGAGTTGAGTTTCTTCCAGTCAATATCAACAGACATAAAGGAGAGAAAATAATTCTATTTCCGTACTTCTTTTGACTCTCATGACCAAGCTTAAATCGGTCTTCCACAAGTGGAATGAACAACAGAAAATCTACTACCAGCCTGTATTGGAAGCACTTGCGAGCCATGATATCACTACAGGTTTATTCTTTTTTTTTTTATAATTAGACGCGTTTATTGATGGTATTGATAGACAGTGTTTTGTTTGAAAAAAATCTTGGTGTTTTATGCCAAACGACGGGTATAGCTAGACCAGTGAGATCAATATGCTTTCGTATATAGTTTGTTAATAGTTTTTTTTTTTATAAAAGAGGTTAAGAGCATTTATCAAACAAGTTCAATTCGACACATTATTGCATGAACAACCCTTTTCTAAAGACAGTCAACTGTTCATTTCAACAGGCTTTGAAAGGTAAGTTAAAAAGAAAGAGAGACTCGAACAATTGAATTGAGTAGAATAGCCTGGATCAATTGCTTCAACATGGTTTCTATTTTGGTCAGATCATTGAATTGTGTGCAGAGACAAATGCTATTCCATCTCGAGTAAGAAACAAAGACGTTGATTTGCATTAACAATAATTTAGTTTACGTCACACATCCTAGCGTCTTATTTACAATCGTATTCAAAGCAAGGTATCTTTATATTTGACACAACAGGCATGCTTGAACCAAGAAGTATGCAAGAGACGTTTATCAAAAAGCAATTAGATCCTCTTATTTTAACACAAATTGAAACTGTTCAGTCATTTACACTGGGTGATTTGTCATCTTCATTAGAGAATCTGGCTGCTATACTGTCTACAACAGAGAGTATACATCCCTTAGTAGTCATTGATGATCTTGCTCGATTAGTGGGTCCTGATTGGTCTATTGCAGCAGGTAATATACATATACATTCACTCTTTACTCATCATATGTATAGTGAACAGCTTGATTAAAATGATACAAATCTTGACAAAGAAATTGAATTGCTGTGTCATCATTTTACATCATATATCAAAAAAAGAAATCTCCAATTCAAAAGCATATGATTCAATGATTGATTTACGCCTTTTCTTGGCACAACAGATGGAATCAAAGCAAATTGATATACAAGTATTGAAATCAAGACAATGGGTAAATACGTAAGAACAAGCAATAAGAGATAATAATTTAATGCTATAGATCAATCCAACTATGTGCTCTATTCAAATGAATTAAGTCAACTGTAATGCTGACCTATTTCATACTTGAGTTAGTTTCTGTTTAAACTGCGATTTAAATACCTGTTCTTTCTCAACTGTTGTTCTTTTGTCACTATTTTCTCTTCTGGAGGTAACATTTCAAAGCTACATAATAAACTGCTAGAAATAGTCATGACAGCACCATAATTATCGAATTCGCCACAGTAATTAGGAGCACTGAAAATAGTGACTAATTTTCTTTGATGAAAGAACTCATAACCATCTTCTACAACCTATAAATAATATTAATATATATTTATATATCTATATATTTATATATACCATATGAGCTCTGCAAATCAAGTCTAGATCGTATCTGCTTAAAAATGCATCTACATTCTTTGCACCAAAGCATACAGACACACCTCGGTCATTTTCACTCCAATTAGGCGAGGCATCACTTGGATCTGACCATAATAAGTCATTCAGTAAGCCATATTCGGGTATCTCTAGTGGTCGTTGAATTGTACTGATTTGGTTCATTGATTTCATCTGAGGCGATAGTCCACCATGCACACAAAATATTCTGCCTCCCACAACAGCTGCAATAGGCATAGCATTAAACACATTTACGAAATGCTTCCATATTTTAACATTCATTCTTCTTTTACATTCATCATAAAATCCATACACTAAACATACTGGTTATCACACCACAGTAACATCATTGAACTTACCCCGTGTAACATCCGCACTTTCATGATTACCTCGCAGTAAAAAAAAGTTTTCAGGATACTTGAGTTTGAAGCAAAGTAACAGCAACATAGTCTCTAGACTATACATGCCACGATCTACATAGTCACCCAAAAACAAGTAGTTTGAACTGGGTGGGAATCCACTCATTTTAAATAACCGCATCAAGTCATGATATTGTCCATGAATCTAATTGAAATTTAAGCTATCTATATTTTCACATGTACATGACTTACATCACCCACAATTTTAAGTCCAGGATTCAGTTCAAGTAGAGTCTATGCCTGTATGTCAGTAAGACCATCCATGCTCTCTTCTTTTGGGCTTACCGGCTGACTCAAAAATAAATCATATGCGTACCGACAAATGGCGATCACTTCATTTTGATCGAGACACACTGATTTTCCAATATGTCTAGATTTTCCAGCTTCCAGCAGCCTTTGGATGCAAGAATCAAGGTCTGCATGAGTATGTTGGTCTTGAAGGGTATTTGGTTGGTAATAGGCTTCTTCGTCTTCATCATCAAACACTTGGTTGATTTCGTATTGTGGGTTCCGAGAATAGTGATCATTGGGTGGTATAGTATGATTTCGAGGCGGTGGAGGTGGTTGACGTTGGGTTTGTGGAGGTGGTTGTGAACGATGATTATTAGGCACTATTTTACGTGTATTGGTTACTGTTTGTTGTTGTTGTTGTTGTTGCTTTTTTTTGTTGTGTTTTGAAGAACTGTTTCCCATCGTTGAATAAAATATATAAAGAAAAAAGAGTATAAAGAAAAGAGAAAGAAGAAAAAGAAAAAGGGAAAACTTATTGTTCTTTATTTTTAGTAACTTTTTTTATGATTTGCAACCTTTCTAAAGATAGAAAAATGCAACTGCTTTCTCCTGACCTTGATTACCGCATCAAAAGTTAGAGTTGAGTATAAATCCCTCTTGTCCAACAATGAGGTCACATGATCTATGCATAAGGTGATGAAATGCGTTAGTACCTACTATATAGCAACAATACGCTCATGCCTACTACAACATCCTTTGAACTTGATTTTGACTTTGGACGCGAAGATTTCTTTTCATTTTTGGAAATTCTATTTCTTTGTATTTTTCTAAACAGCGCAACGTGGACAAATCACAAAAGCTCTTCAAGCCGAAAAAGATCCACGGATCACAGAGAATGATTTGTTGTTATTGTTCAAGAACTAAAGGATTCTAAACTGTTACAGTTCAGGGCTAAAAAAGAAGAAAAAATTTTATGCATGCATGAACAAATAGAAAGTCTCGAGCTTATTCATGAGGTTACGTTAGATACAAAATACAGTTTGAAAAAGGGATATAGTTTATTGAATTGAAAGATGAAGGAGATTATTACTTACCGCCCACAGAAATGTTGGCACCAATATCGACACCAACATTGCCTAGTAGTTTACCAATATCACCTACAAGACCAAGAACAGCATCCAATACATCACCAAGAGTAGTTCTCAAGACAGCACGCATAACAATACCCTTTTCATCTACTTGAGCAATATCAAGAAGTTGAGCAGGTTCAGGAGCTTGAGATGCTTCTTCTGCAGCTTCCTCCTCCTCCTCCTCTTCTTCTTCTTCCTCTTCCTCATCGATGTTAACAATAGAGACTTCAGCTTCAATAGCGTCAGCATCGGCCATTAATTCAGCAACTTCTTCATCAACTTCTTCTTCTTCTTCGTCCTTGGCAGCTTCTTTTTTAGCAGCAGCAGGTTTGGCAGAAACTTCAAGAGCAGCAGCCTTGATGGATCCTTCAGCAACAGCAGGAGCAGCAGGCTTAGAAGCAGCTTCAGTCACATCAGCCTTAGGCATCAAATCCAAAAGACCTTCATAAGACAAATCAACCATAGCAGCTTCTTCACCTTTTTCCTTTGATTCAGCAACCTTCTTATCAATAAGATCCTTGACTTCCTTAAAAGCGGCAGTTTCAGAAATGGCCTTTTCATCAATAGACAAGTTTTGAATCAGTTGGTGAATAGCCTTTGCTTTTGCTTCAGGGTTGGTCACCAAGAAAGGAGCCACAAGTTTTGACAAGGTCAAGTTGGGAACATTTTGGAAAATGTTGTACATTTCATCGGCGATCTTGATGAACAAACTATTTTCGTCTGTGTTGGAAGCAACAAATTCATCATGAGGGAAAGAATCAGGCAACATGTTCACCACATAGGCTTGGTAATTGCCAAATACGGCAGGATCAACAACACCTAATAAGCGGCCGAGGACTTCATCAAATTTTGCAGTATCGATTTCACTAGGAGCGTTAGGAATACCATAGCTTTCTAATTCAGCAGCAATGCTCTTGACAAGGGAATCCATGGTACATAACATCTTGTTTTCAGCATTGACACACAGGTCTTCAGATGCTTGAGCTTCTTTAATTCTAGCCAACATGGCCATTTGGTTATCATTGATAGCTTCAGTGTCAACATGGAGTAAACGCTCAAGAAAACCTTGTGATGAAGCTTCAGGGATTGTAGCAGCAGCAGCCATGCCCGCCAAGGCAAGGATAGAAATCAAGCTAAGTTTCATTGAATGTGTATAAAGAACAAAAAAGAGATGTTTTCATCAGACATGGCGTTTTTAAATGAACAGAAAAAGTTACGACTGAAGTTATAGTTTTCAATATGTTATAGACAGCATTTCTTGGTAAGTTTGAGAATGTTGTCAAACTATCGCTTTATACATTTCGCAAACCTTATTTTTGCTCTTCATCTTGAAAACGCTTAAAAAACTTTAAATGCTGAGCTTATATTGATTATGACAACGCAAAAATCATGAAGTAGATTTGTTTGACAAAAAGACAAAATATGTAGAGTGGATAAATTAATTTTATTTTTGAAAAAAAAAGGATCATCTAAATCAAAAACTAGAATGGGTATTGTTTCTTTTTTTTTCTGACTCAAGCAGCAATGTCACTGTCTTGAGAAAGAACTTGAGAGAAGACAGCAATGGCATTAGCAATGTTTTCTTCAGTAGGGTTGCTCAAGACAGACACAATAGAAGGATCAGCAGTCATAGCCTTTTCCATGATACTACGAACAAAGTCCATCATATCGCTGGCACTTTGAGCTTCCATATCTTGAACACGGAGGAGACCACCAGTGAGGATTCTACCAACGACACCAAAGATAATTTGAGCAATAGCGTTTTGAACACCTTGACCAAGGTTACCAACAACACTGGAAACCAATTGAAGAACGGCTTTGATGACAGCTTGAAGAATAGCAGCAAGTCTGAGGAAGTTGAAAAGAATACCGTTTTGGTTTTGAGACAAGAACTTGGCAAGGTTTTGGAGGAAAGCACCGAGTGGAGAAGCAGAACCGACAAGGGAAGCAAGGTTACCAACAACAGCTTCAATCAATTGAGGAATAGAAGCAGAACCGGAGACAATGCTGTTGACAGCATTACCAATAAAACCAATAATACCTTGCAAAGCTTTGTTATCGAGAACACCGTTTGTTAAGTTTTGAACAATACCACCAAGAACACCACCCAAGAGACCAGGAGCAGCGGTAGTCAAGTTACCGACACCACCCAAAAGACCATCAGTAAGGTTACCAAGGCCGCTGGTGAGGTTACCAAGACCACCCAAGAGACCTCCGGTAATGTTGAAAGCACCACCAAGAATATCAGTGAGGTTGAGAGCACCACCACCGAGGATGTTGGTGAGGTTAAGAGGGTTACCCAAAAGACCACCAGTAGTGTTAAGAGCACCTCCCAAAAGACCACCAGTAGTGTTAAGAACACCTCCCAAAAGGCCACCGGTGAGGTTACCAAGACCACCCAAAAGACCATTGACGGTACCATTAGGAGAAACGACAGTACCAACAGTGCTACCAATGCCACCGAGGACACCACCCAATAAACCGGTAAGAGGGTTAACAACAGTAGTGGTAGGGTTGCTAAGGGTAGTGTTGACAACAGTACCAACGGTACCAGTCAAAGAACCAATAGCGCTACCGAGACCACCGAGTAAGCCAGTGATAGGGTTGGTACCTGTAGTGTTGACAAATTGAGCAGCACTGATGGCTTCATCAGAGAACATCATCTCAAAAAGTTCAGAAAGATTGCTGGGGCCATTTTCCATGTTCATTGCCTTGACTTGCTCAACAATAGCTTCATTGGCTACTCTATGAGCTTCGTTAAAGAAGAGAGCTAAGCCTTGTTCGATAGTGAGTTCTTGAGCAAGTTGTTCTTGGTTACCCAATTGTTCCATAGAAACATCAGCCTGGAATTAACTATGTTAGATCAAATATCACTTTGTTTTCTAAAATTACCTCGATGTCATAGTTTGTTTCGGGAACTGCAGCACAAAGTGCCATGGGCAATAATAAAAGGGTAGATATCTTAGCTAACTTCATAATGATATATCTATGAGTTGAGTAAAGAAGAAAAAAAGAAAAGAAGCTCAGGCAACCTTTTTATTACATATAGCTTGAAAGAATGTATAAACAAACTATACCCAGAACTTTCTGCTTTTATCTTCTGAGTATACTTAAATGGATAAGGAATGTTTATTTTCCATCTGCTTTTAACTCATATCTCATTTTGCTATGCTGTCTGCAAGAAACTCCCGAAAAAAGAGTCTAATTTGAATAAACACACACACACACACACACACACACACACACACACACACATATATATATATATATATATATATATACAAGAGTGCTATCACAATAAGTCATTGTTTTTTTCTCTCGCTCATTATCCATTAGTTCTAAATACAATTATTACTGTTGATCGAAAAATACCAAAAAAAAGGAAAAATCTTTTGTGTGTTGATTTATGCATTAGCAGAAGAAACCAAGAAAAAGAAAATAAACACGTTTTATAGTTGAACATGGTCGAATTTAAATAGAAAAGCATATAATACTTAATCATAATTATAACAAAAAATACAGATATTATCATATATATCTTTAGAGTTACATTCTTATTAGAAAAAAACAAAAATTTCAAAAACAGGAAACAATTCATTCTTGTTTGGTTCTATACCTTATTTCTTTTTTCAAAAAGTCAATTCATATGTATGTGCAATTCAGCATACCAATAAACCTCATGTGATAAACCTCAACATAATGACTAGACCAGAATTGAATTACGGATAATTCAAATTGCACACTTCTGTATGCTAAACGAAAGTTGAAAAACAATGCTCATTATAATAAGCACGAGAGAATAATGCTATACCAAACAAACCGTATAAGAAAACGTTCCTATTATGTATACGAAGTGAAAATAAGCTTTATGAAATGAATTAACCTTTTCAAATTCATTGAATACTTGATATATTTGTTACTTATGGTCTAGTTTTAATACATCAGTGCTTTTGATCTTCTAAACTACAGAACAAAACTACATGTGTGTTTATTTGCTCATAATAAAGATCAAGAACGAATAGTCCGTCTTTGAGGTGAACTCGAGGTCACGGACTACATTGGCATCCAGGAGCAATAGGCTTCGAAAACAATCAGTTCTCATACGCAGTACTTGTTCATTTTTTGATAAATATTTGACACATAGAGGTTTGATTTCAAATCACGTAATACCTATTTTTGGGTATTCCTTATACACGACATTAATTTTTCTATGCCTACACCACTGTATATTTGCATGAATCTTGCTCTTTCAAATGAAACAAATAAATTGAATCATAATGATTTCATATCTTGTGCATAAATGTCTGTCACAACATTTTTTTATCATTTTTTTCCCCTCATGGTTTCCTAGGCTCGTTTGCCTAGCAAAATTCTCGGTGAAATACTCACCTATTTGAACAAAAACGATAGAAAATAATGTCAGCTTACTTATCGTCATTGGGAAATGCCTTCAAAAAGAGCCTTGTATACAGACATTACCCTCATGTTCGATCATGAGATTACGTCGTTCACGCACACAATTACTAATTCACCATCTCATTCCGCAGAGCTTGTATGACGAATCGTCACTTTCGGGGCTAGCAAATTAGAAGAAGGCGATCAGGAAAGCACAGAGCACCTCGCTACTTTAGGCAAATATTGTACAAACATACAGAACTTAGAAATATCTCCAACCAGCCCCTCTTTTTGGTCAATCATACAACAGAAGTATAATGGAGGAAAGTGGAAGCGTTTGAACATATTACAATATCCTTCAGAAGAAGTATTTACCTGGAACCGACTTAATGAGCAAGCTGTTGTTAGTTGATCAAGATGTTATCAATATTGTTGTCTCAGCAGTTATTGGTATGATCTTAAATATGCCTCTTAGCATCCTACTAATTCTTTTCGTTTGTGTAGGACCAAAGGCAAAAGATCAATACGTTACCATTCCAACTGAGTGGATTGATTTCACTCGCTCTGATGTCGCATACGAGCCAGTCAAATGCTCCAATGACCTACCTCGTATCCTAATCGAGATTCAAAATAAGGCAGATATGAATTTCTATCAACGGCTAATCGACTATTCGCGTTCGGTTTATAGACAACACAAAGCGTCTAAGCTCCCTATTGTTGTAGCAATTGTGATCAATTCGACAACCAGAGATCTACTTGAAGTTGAAACACCTGGTTCTCCTATCCCTTTTGCAAAACAGCTATCGAGCATTGGCTGGGCCAGCTCATGTCTATTGTTCAATGCAGAGACTATTGCACCCTATCTCAACGAAGCCCCATTAAGCCCATTGCTTGCACTTGTTCACTGCCTTATTAAACAAGAGACATCACTCATAAACTTAGAACAATGCAATGACCCAACACTAGTTTGTCTATATACTAAAATGAAGAATACACTTGGTGATCATATCCATGACAACGAAAGCTCTATCCAGGTATTAAAGAATGTATGTGCCCAATCAAAACTAGAATGCTATAAGGCAAAAGCAGCCCTTGAAGACCAAGATCAACCTGTTGGCGTGCGTATTGAAACAGCCGTAAAGACTTTGAATAATGTTATTGCGTATGTCAATGAAATAGTACAAAAGCGACATTTAGAGGATCCATTGTCCGATTTCGAATTTGCTGAGCAACAAGTGGACAAAAATGGACACATACCATGAAAAACTCAATTCCAACAGTGGAAAATACTGGGACGCGTTGAGCAGTATAAGTCGTACAAAGTGCTCAAAGTGCTTATCACCGTGCTACGAAAAAGCAAAAGCAAAAGCAAACTGAAGAAACTGAAGAAACTGAACAAACTGAACAAACTGAACAAACTGAACAAACTGAACAAACTGAACAAACTGAACAAACTGAACAAACTGAACAAACTGAACAAACTGAACAAACTGAACAAACTGAACAAACTGAACAAACTGAACAAACTGAACAAACTGAACAAACTGAACAAACTGAACAAACTGAACAAACTGAACAAACTGAACAAACTGAACAAACTGAACAAACTGAACAAACTGAACAAACTGAACAAACTGAACAAACTGAACAAACTGAACAAACTGAACAAACTGAACAAACTGAACAAACTGAACAAACTGAACAAACTGAACAAACTGAACAAACTGAACAAACTGAACACCAACAGAGTATACCTGCAGTGGCGTCCTCATCGTCATCGTCATCGTCATCGTCATCGTCATCGTCATCACTTCCCGGAGCAAGACAGTCATCATCTTGAATTGAATTTTGACATTAGTTATTGATATGTTCCGCTTGTCATAGTTAATAAAAAAAAAACTAAAGAAAAAATTATTCTAGGCATTAAGAACCAACGAAAGATCGCTTGATAGTTGAGTGTATAAGTTGTGTAGAGAAGACATAAAGACGCAGAGAGGCGTTGTTGTAGCATTAAAAGGAAATCACTTAAACGATTTGACGCCTTCCGTCATAAAATTTCTAGTTATAACAACAGTATAACACGGAAATATACAGCTATAACAAGTTTTTATAGCCAATAGGAGTCTGAAGTATTTATAACAAATTGTTATAGCCTGTAAAATATCAAGTTGAGCGGCTATAAACTGGCCAATCAAAAGCCTTGCTTGCTATAACAAGTTGTTATAGCAAAAAGTACGGCTTTTCATTGGCTGTTTGAAGTTCAATTCGTACATCATTCAAGGTCGAAATAAATTTCTCTCAAGCATGTATTGAGACCTTCGAACATAGAACAGTAAACATAAATTGCTGTGATCTTCTTAGTTTTATTCGATAAATATGTGTAAGTAAAATATATAGGTCCAGATTAAAATCAAGTATAAATATGTGAAAGTAATGTTATTTGTTCTTTGATCTTCTTTTTATCGCTCGCTTTTCATAGTAAATTCCGAAACATCATTATTATATTCAAATGGCAGTACCAAACAGTGATATTTTAGCAGCCTTACAACAGCAAATGGCTGCACAACAAGCAATGATTGAGCAAATCATGCAAAATCAAGAACTCCAGAATCAACAACAGTAATAACAAAGCCAACAGGAACAAGACATAGAAGCAGAAGACCCACTTTTCAACACCCACTTTTCAACACCCAACAACAAGTACATTCTTTTGAGACACAATCCCATCATGATTGGAATCCTTCTCGAGAATTATCGCAACTATTGGTCCAGGAATGTCTGACAACCAACATAAGCAATTGATTGAAAGATATCCTGCCATCCAAGGAGTCAATCATCAACCACCCGCCACCATGCCTGAAGCATATGCCAGAATGAGTTATGATCAAGAAAGGGAAGACAAAATGCTCAAGCACCATCAATATGTTTTTTGTGAACATATATAAATTCATATGCATAGATCAATAAATGATGATCATGGCAAAAGACCAGATCACATCTATGGCAATTGCAATGGATCTATAGTCACTGACATTCACTCATTCTACTAGAAGTACTACATCATCCTCATAGTCAGAGATTATGAACCTAGTGACTCTGTTATTATTAATGGCCCTCATAAAGTGACAGTTAGAGCTGACAAATACATTGGCATTGGCATTTGACAAATATGTAATAGTTTATTCAAGTTTAGGTCAGATCATGTACTATTGGCTGAGCTGACAACTTCCCCTAAAGGCATTTCTCTTAATTGCTCCTGATCTGACAAATCAATCCGTAGTCAAGAAGCTAACCCCAAAACAACACTTTGGCCGAGAAGAAAAAGTATAAAAACCTCGACATTTTATAGCAATTGAAAGATGACATTTCCTGGAGAAATAAAAAACCTATACAAGTTCTAATGGACTTTCTCTGTGTTCTTACCCTTTCTCTTATTTTATATCTATTCCCTCTTCATCTCACAACAGCATCCTCTATTGCGTTAAAACAAGGAATATCTCTTGACGATATACAGACGCTGGGAAACTGGGTTGATTCAAAGACATTTCAGAATCATTACCGGCGGGAACACTTATCGACAGTGGATTTTACCAACCAAGTACTGGGAACAGATCTACCAATGGTTCAGCTTGATGAAGGCTCTAACAATGATGAAGAAAACCAGGAGTTTTTCGATGCTACTGAAGGTTTTTGGTGTTTCTTACGCTGGAGCAGCAATTTATGTTTATTGTTCTATGTTTGAAGGTCTTAATACATTCTTGAGAGAAATTTATTTCGATCTTGAATGTAACTTTAGACAAGAGAACATAGAACAGTAAATATAAATTTCCCACCCTATCCCGCCCACGCTCGCTTTCAAAGATCAAAGAACAAATAACATTACTTTCGCATATTTATACTTGATTTTAATTTGGACCTATATATTTTACTTACACATATTTATCGAATAAAACTAAGAAGATCACAGCAATTTATGTTTAATGTTCTATGTTCGAAGGTCTCAATACATGCTTGAGAGAAATTTATTTCGACCTTGAGAAAAAATTCACTGGCTGTTTTAAGTTCAATTTGTACACCATTTCCCGAAATAGATTGCGCAAAAAAAAAAAAGAAATAACCAGGTTGCATTAACAAAAAATAAAGACTTCATGTTTAAAAATCATAGATTACACCTTTTCTCAGAATGATGTCGCACACTCAAAGTTTAAGTTGTCGCACTTTTCAGAATAAAGATGTCGCGTAAATTTTAGCACTTTTTTTCTCTTGAAGTACATTTATAATGAACTACTCGTTTTATTTGAGGATGGACAAGGAAATGTCATGGATGAAAATGGAAATAACCCAATGGATATCACTGGGAATGAAGATCCGTACAAGTTAGAGGAACTTGCATCCTATAGCGCTTATATGGAGGCTAAAGAGAAAGTGATGATGTAAGTTGATCAAGATACAACCTCTTTGGAACACAAAACTACCAAAAATAAAATAAAAAAAAACTGACTCCAAAAGGGACAAAAAATAACATCATCAAGAACAAACGAGTCAGTAATGAAGTTAAGGCACATGCCGTTCACTTGGTTGATATACACTCAAAGAATAGCGCTAGAGCAGTCGCTCTAGACTTGGGCTTAGAACCGAGAAGTTTGCAACGGTGGTATAGTACCTGGAAGAAAGACCCAGACTCTTTGTTTAAAACTATTGGTCGACCAAGAATTATTGAAGCAGAAGGTGAATTAGCAGAAGCAACGAAGAACGCTGTTACAGAGTTTTATTACAAACAGCCAACTGCCACAGCTGATCAGCTACTTGATCGATTGACTAGTACTTTTGAGGGTCTATCGCTTTCGAAGTCTACATTGTATCGTTATTTGAATGATCTTTGGATTTTAAGTTTGAAGAAAGTGCAAATGGAGCCTTCAGAGCGAAACACTCCAGAGAGGATTCAGGCGAGAAAGAAATGGGTGGAGGAGATGAAGAGTATGGGGTGTAGATTGCATGAACAACTGCGTCTTCATTGATGAGGCAGGATTTAATGCAAATCTGAGAAGAACTCAGGGATGGGCTCCGAAGGGAGAGCCAGCTATTGTTAAGATACTTACGGCAAGAGCAAACTCGATCTCAATCTTGGGTGCTATATCAAATAAAGGCTTGATCAAGGTTTGTTTGAGAAAACCTATTCCCCCTTCGAAAAAACGAAAGCTAGCAGGAGGGGCTAAAGCACAAACAAAAGACACCATAATTAATCATTACCTGAGATTTATTGATGATATTCTCGAGGAGATGGATAAATATCCTGAAATGAAGGGACACTACTTGTTGATGGACAATGCTCCCATCCACATACCTAAGTTGATTAGAGTTGCTATCGAGTCTCGTGGGTATAAATGTATCTATTTACCATCCTACTCTCCTGAGCTCAATCCAATCAAACAATTTTGGGCAGTTGTCAAGAGTAGTGTTAAAAGGGAGTTTATTCTCAAGAAGGATACACTTCCTGCTAATATTAGTGAAGCTTGCAACAGTGTATTACCATCATTTTTTGAAGGCTTCGCTCGTTATTCCATGAGACGTTTTGACGACTGTTTGAATTGCCTTCCTATTTTATTCTGAAAAGTGCGACAACTTAAATTTTGAATGTGCGACATCATTTTGAGAAAAGGTGTAAGTTAGCCATAGTACAAATCTGGAAAGTCAATTAAATTCAATTTCCCGTTTTTAATTTCTTCTTCTTTACTTTGTGTGCATACATATATACAATGAGCCATGTAAAGATATTTCTATTATTATTTTTCTTTGCTTCTTTCTAATAGCTCTTGCATATATATATATACATATATATATATATATAGACTGACAAGACAACATCAGGCATTAAGCGTACATCAGTCACTTCATTGTTGGATCGTACAAAAAACGCAGCATTAGGACGACTTCAAAAGAGATTATCACAACCACCCGAACCCAAGACTACAAAGCCAGCTTATCCTTCAATATACGATGAAGTAGAAGACGATGAATCAGAAGATCCTATTCCTAAAGCACCTCGATTGACTTCAGAACACTTTAAGCAATATGAAGTCATCACTGAATTGTAAGCATCATCTTGATGGACTTGATCTAAACAAGCACATGTATTAGTGTTAACTTGAGAAATCCAAGCCATTGTCCTTTGGGTGTCTATGTGATGCCTTCAGAGCATAATATACGTGGTAAGAGAAGTGCTGTATAAGCGTATTTGACTCACTTTATCAAGTATGGTATGGTGTTATATTTGTACACAAAGGCTTCTATCGATCAGGCGCATTCAAATTCAAAATTGAATTGCCCGAGAATTACCCCAATTCACCACCTACAGTCTCTTTTTTAACAGAAATGTTCCATCCACTCGTCGATATCGATGGAAGAGTGTCTATAGCACAACAGTTTCCTGTATGGCGACCTTATCAAGACTACACATATCATATCCTCCACTATCTAAAAAATATGTTCAAGAAAGTTGTCTTGGATGGATTGAATGATAAGTACTGCTATAATAAGGAAGCCTATAGACTATATCGTACTGAAGTAGCAGTATTTGGTAAGATGGCTCAACAATGCGCTCAACTGTCAATCACAGAATCATTTCTTTTTGAGCGTATGCCTGAAGACAATCTTATTCGATTTTCACCACTCAGTGATGCGAAATTTGGTAAAGTGAGATGTATTAAGCATGTCGATATTCATTATTATTATTATTATTATTATTATTATTATTATTATTATTATTAGAGGAACTAAGAGCACAAATGTTGGGCAGTGTTACTGTAAGGGATTTTATTTTATCTATATGAACTAAGACACTCTTGTAGGCTTCTCATTCGTGGAGAGAATCGACGACTCCCTGAGATACACGCGTTACAATCTTGTTTTTAGACGAATGAGGAAATAAATCACCCCACATGGCTTTGCGTGCATCGCGGTAGGGTATTTTGCCTTGAGATTTAGGAATTGTCATGCGTTGAATTTCTCCTTGTGTTGAACATACATCCATCACAACATGTCCATTCTTTTTCAAAGGGGGCTGAATCAATCGTGGCCATTGATAGGCTTGTTCCTGTATTGTGTTTGTTAGACTAGGTCGACTGCCTCTACGTAAGATGACATAGGCATATTTTGAGTCTTCTGTGTTGAATTTAGAATGCTTTGTTTTCATCAAGAAGGCAGGACGTTGTACCCTTTGTGAAAAGTGGCACCAAATGTCGTCTGGTTTGGCTTGAGGAGAAAACAACAATGGACAAGGTTTATCATGAGAACACTATAGAAAGCATGAGTTATATGTATAGAAAGAGATGTATATACTTTACAGGTGCAACTACATGTACATTTGATTTTTCTGCATCCAAAATCCATTGTCTAGCTCTAGCAATATTTGAGAATCCAATAGGTGTTCCTCTATCAATCAAGACCTATTTAGGCTTGTTAATACAGATTGCAGATTACCATATTGCTTACCAAAACATCTTTTGTTTGAGCCCATAATTGTTCTACTGTTGATTTCATGAGAGCTGTGGATGCAATATCGCCCAAAGTAAATGCGCTGACAACTAAATCAGTGCCTGATGACTTTGGATCCAATGCTAAATAACGCTTAAAGTCAATGGGTTGCTCATGTTCGCTTGATCGCATAGACAGTTCTAGCTGTTCTGCTATTCTCAACATGTCTTCTGATAAGTCAACACCTGTATATTTCTCCAATTCAAATGTTTGTTTGGCTGCCCAAATGGCTGTGCCTGGTCCAGTACCGAAATCAAGCATGGACTTTGGTTTGAAGTCAGACAGGCGCAAAGCAAGCTCTTGCATGACATTTGTGATAGCTGCAAATGTAGAGGGCAGTGCACCTGCTGCATAAGCCACAGATTCTCGAGGTCCATAAGATAGTTTATGAGGTTCAATGGCTTCTTTTTTGTTATTTTGCTTGCGTTGCTTTTTGGCTGTACGTGATCCATCAAAGTCTGTCTCGAGCGGTTTGGGAATCTTGGCTGTGGATCGCAAGGCATCGTATAATCGAAGTGCATCAGTTCGGATCAAACGTTTGTCTTGACCTAAATAGATCGTGAGTATACAATCCAAGCAGACATCTAGACTTATACCTTCAATCAAATCCGTGATGCCGTTTACAAGAGACTTTGGTAATTGAACACAACCAATACGTTTGCGTCCAAATTCTGCTTCTTCTGATCCTCTTGTATATGGCTCATTGGAAACATTGATTTCTTTGACAAGTAACTCACTATGGATATGTTTGTTTTCTGGTTAGAAACAAGCCTACAGATTTGTTTTCTTACCTTTGATCTTCTAAATCAACTATTCCTAGCGATTCAAGTTGATCTTGAGTCATGAAGATGGCCTTTTCAGGCTTGGTGGTATAATACCGTTTTGTTGTCAATAGACGCTTTGACAATTGCCTTGCAGCCATGTTTAATGTAAGAAAGAAAAAAAGGGTAAAGAAAACCAGTCTACTTTGACAGTTTTTTTTTCTACAGGATGCGGAAGTACAAATTCATTATGATGTTGGTTAAATGTAGTCAAAATAAAAAGGATCAACTCTGTACCTCTAAGAAAGGCATTTGAAAGAGAACATAAGCAATTCTTGATTAGAATATATGACATACAACATTAAACTACTCTGAAGAAACAATATGTTGCAAAAGCACAAATAGAATACACCCGATGAAATATAATTAAGATGCATACACCTGGTAATAGGCAAGGAATTGCACTATTACTGTAAATCACGGTATGGTCTATTCAACTGAAATTTAAACAATATGATTCTCCCTTCCATTGAATACTCACATACTAAATGAATCAAAACTAGTGTCGCAAATCTACTTTTACTTTTTTTCTATTATATGCAAATGTAACTTGTCATATAAAAAAAAAGTTTGGTTTACTTTACAAGGTCTTTTTTTTTCCCTTGGTTTGTTTGCATATCCTGTTTATAAAAGATAAAAAAGCAACTTTGTTGGTTTGCATAATGTTAGAGGGTCGATTTACTCACAGATATAGAAACATACGCTTTTATATGCTTATTAACATTGTATCATGGTATATATATACATGTATCAAAGACACCCACTATTTTTTACTTGTATCGTTTGTTTTGGTTTTTAGACTTGAAGGAAGTGTAGTGTCTGCTTTATACTTGTTTGTGTCACCGAAATAAAACATATGTTTATATCATGTCATCTTTTCTTCATCACTAAACTGATAAGTAAATATAACGTCTAGAACTAGTCTATAATCTATTCACTTATAAAGAGAAAAAAGCAATCAATATGAGTTTTATAGTAACAATAAAAAGCGATGAATTCTTCAGGGTCTATTTTCAGGGAAAAGTAAGCCACTGTCCTACGGATTTAAAATGTGGTAAGCATATGCATAGTGCACGGATCAACTGAGATACTTTTTGTGCTCAAGGTAAAAAAAATGAAGAAAAAAAAGACAATAGTTAGTTCATCTTTAGGCACCAGTAATCAGTACTTTCAGTTTGTGTGCAAAATAGCTTTCTTTCTTTTTTTCTTTTTTTCTTTTCAACAGCTAAACTTTTCTTTGCTCTTTTGGTTATTGACATTTTCATATGAATAAGGATGATCTTATCATTTTTTTTTTTTTTTTTTTTGTAGTTGGATTTTATTTACAATATTATTGATTAGTCACACATCGCAGAGAGGTGGGACGTCGAAAAACAGGAGTAAAGAAAGACGATGTAAAGATCATACAATGATCAGGGCTATTTTAGCAAGGAGTGATTTTTTGTAGCTAAGGCTACCTGGTAAATTGTATCTGAAATGATACAAGAATGTTCAAAAGCAACTTGGTTAAGAATCAGGTTCCAATAGGATTTCCAGATATTCCATTGAGCTATCGCAACGATGGATACAAGTTTGGAGCGGTTTGTAATGGCAGGAGGAAAGGCTTGAAGAGTGAGGACCTTGTGGAGGGAGGACGGAGTAAAGTATACCAGAGGGTAGTAGCAGTTTAGTATTTCCAACCAAACACTCCACTTGGTAGAGCAGTGGGCTATGAAATGATCGTACGATTCCGGTTGTGATTTGCACAGACGACAGATAGGAGTAGAGACAGTACCAATCTTGAAAAGTTCGGACGCAGTGGGCAGTTTCTTGTAAAGCACACGATACCACAGTGTTCTAGCCTGAGGGAGCATTGGAGTCCTCCAATACAGAGAGAGCGAAGTACGAGAAGCCTTTATTCGGGATTTAGCTTTGTCTTCATAAGGATGCAGGCAGAAATCCCTAGAAGTGAAAGAGCGCCACAATCTTGTGTCAGTTAATTGCTTGGTCAAAGCATCATAGACAGATACAGTAGATGGTGTCACGTCTTGTGTAATATATTGCCACAGGAAAGATTGAAGTTTTACTGTTCGTCTGCGAAGAATGTCTATAAAGAGCTGATGGCACAATCCTGGTAATGTCCCATATTCATGGCGAACCTTCAGGCGTAACCGGTTACTCTGTTCGTCAAAGAGGAAGAAGAGAGATGCTGGTACTTTTGAATGTCGATGAAGCCAGTGGTTCTGAGGTACCTCTTGAAACATGTTAATTAGCGGAAAGTAAAGCAAGTTGGCAAGAGGCACATTATCAAGTTTGAAGTTGATACCAAAATGATCAAAGGCAGCATAAATACCATTGACAACTGAAGTGGGATGACAAAGGTCATGACGGCGAAGAGTTCTAGAGAAAAAGGGTAGCAATGTATTGTCAGCATCCGGAGACATGATGCCAAAGTGTTCTGTCATAAGCACTCGGAGCTGAGGTGTTAGATTAGACGAACTAAACAGAGTAAAGACCCATCTCATCTGCAGCACCAAGTATTGTGTGATAGGGTTGAGAGCTCCTACACCACCTTGATTCTTGGGGAGACATAACTGGTCAAAAGAAACATAAGGAAACTTCTTTTGCCACACGTAAGCATAGATAATCGAACGAAGTTCATTCAGAAATCGCTTAGTAGGCGCAAACAACCGCAAGCAGTACCAAATTTTGGATAAAATCAAAGTGTTGGCAACGGTAGCTCTTCCTTGAAGCGAGAGGTAACGCTGAGAGTAACCATGAACCCGTGTACGCACTTGTTCCAATAACATATCCTGAACACGATTCCGTTGAGAATTTGTGTATGGCATATAAAAGCCAAGGTATCGAAAAGCAGAAGGGGAATGATGGTGGTAGTATGTTTCGATATCGTGACTCAAAAGCAAAGATTCCCAAGATTCTGACTTGACTCCACTCAGTGAGAAAGCTTCCGTCTTGTGCTTGTTAAATCTTGCATTTGATACAGCACTATACTTAGTCAAGTGATGTTGGAGACGCATAAAATCAGTGGAATCCTTGACAAACACACAGATATCATCAGCATATGCGATGCACTTGATCTGTTGAGATGTAGTGCTCATTGTCGAGACATAACCTTGATATGTAGGGTCTTGCTGGATTGAAAGAATCAGCGGTTCCAAAGCGATGTTGAACAATAAAGGGGACAAAGGATCGCCCTGCCTTAACCCACGTTGCTGATGTACTGGATCCGTAAAGGATCCGTTGACATTGATTGCTATTGAGTTATTAAAGAACAAATTATAGATACTCTGTATAAATAAGGTAGGGAAGCCTAGGGACACAAGAGCTTGTTGAAGATACGTTGGTAATACTCGATCATAGGCTTTCTCCTGGTCGAGAAGCAAACCTACACCTTGATGATGTTCATATCTTGCTTGTTGTAGAACCAAGTGGACGTACATCCCATTTTCGCCAATAAAACGTCCTTGGATGAAGCCCTTTTGAAGCGGGTTGATAATTCGATTCATTATAGGAGCTAGACGTTGGGTAATGAGCCTTGTGAAAATTTTACCATCACAGTTGATCAATGAAATTGGTCTCCAATTTTTTAATTCTGACAAATCACCTTTCTTGGGTAGCAAGCGCACTCTGATTTCCTTCCATGACTGAGGGAAAATTCCTTTTGTCATGGCATCATTGTATACCTGGAGTATCAGGGGCTTCAAACAAGGAAAACCAAACAAGAGTTGAAGGTATATATACCCTAGTCCATCACTACCTGGGCTACTTTGTTTTGGGCTACGCTTTGTCATTCTGACAATATCCTCCCAATCAAATTCCATTTGGAGCAGATTTGCTTCATCCTGATTAACTTTACTTGGAAAGTGAATATTACCTAAATACTCTTGTATTTGATTCATAGGTACTGCATCAATCGCATATAGGTCTTTATAAAACCGTTGTACAATATTCTGCATTGTCGATTTGGTGGTATGTACAATTGTTGGTGTTTCAGAATTGCTATCCTTGAAGCCAGACATATATTGTTGGGCTGTTCGACTCTGATGTATTTTTTTCAAGTACCCAGCATTGCACTCACCATTCTCTTGCCAGCGAAGACCAGCCTTTAGAATAGCTATTTCAGCCAGCTCTTGTTGTAGTATCTGTAGCTCATTGTCAATAGGTGGAATTACCAAGCGCTGAACGTCTGGAGGAGGCTTTGTGCGTAGTAAACGATTACGTTTCTTTTCTAAAGCACGAATTCTCTTAGTACGCCAATCAACGTAATCCACTGAATATCCTCTAATGATTGACTTGGCTTTGTGTTTTACTTCATCCCATTTTTCTTGGGGCGATATATTCTCATCAAATCCTTGAACCAAATGTTGTATATTCCTCTCTAATGTCTTTTGTAGCTTAGGGTGGAAAGCATACACTGGATTGGCACGCCATAGTCCTTGACCAAACTGGGATTGGCCCAAGAGTAAGGATGTGTGTAATATGGAATGGTCTGACCATTTCGCTCCTAATCTGGTAATAGATGATTCTGATGCGCATTGGTACAAAATTTTACCCAAGTATATATAGTCTATGACAGTCATCACTAATTCACTTGAGACGGTGCGTGAAAGGTGGGAACTTCGTGAAGGCCATTGATGGCCAAAGCATTTTGAAAATTTGCTTGCAAGAGAGCTAACCATTGCGTTGATGTTGAAGACGAATTATAGTGGCGGCTGAGGACTGAGTAATTAAAATCTCCTGAAATAATCAGTCTGTCAAAAGAGATAACTGATCGAAAATCATGGAGCATTTGTGTTAGATTGCTAAAGAATGTTCGACGTTTTGCAGCAAGGCCTGCCGGTGCATAGACGTTCAGAACAAAGAAAGGTTCATAGAAATGATGTGGATGTTCAACCATGCATAGTTGAAATCGATCGGATGTAAAGGATGAGGAAGTGTCGATGATAGAGATGTTGTAATCGGTAGAGAAGGAGAGTATGCCCACATGACTGGTCCAATGGGACTGTGTAGGTTGAAAGAGGATGTTGAGGTTATCTATAGTTGAAGGAGTGGAAGCATGAGTTTCTTGAAAGCATAATATAGAGAAATTCTGCATTCGAAGGTATCGTATATATTCTTTTTGTATTTTTTTGGAGTTTGTTTTCACTAAACTATTGGCGTTTAGTGAGGCATAGTGGCACAGGATATTTTTCTT